GGAATAGGTGAGTTGTTCAGGGAGGGGGTGGGGAGGTCAAGAGGGTGTAGGGCAGGTGGAAGTTCAGCTAGATAAAGGTTAAATAGGAGGGGTGCCAGAATGCATCCCTGTCTGACGCCTTTGTGAATAGGGATGTCATCAGTCAAGGCGCCTGTACGGTCTAAGCGGACGCGGCATGAGTTGGAAGAATGTAGCTGTTGGATGAGGGAGAGGAGGCGGGGGTCGATATTCCAGTTCGTTAGTTTCTTCCATAAGGTGTTCCTGTCTATGGAATCGAAGGCCCCCTTGAGGTCAATAAATGCAGAGTAGAGTTTTGCCTTGTGGAACTGAGAGTATTTGTTAACAAGGAAAGAGAGGGTGAAAATGTGGTCCAGAGTCGAGGCTCCTGGGCGGAAGGCAATTTGTTCCTTAGATGGGAGACTGATGTCTTCCGCCCAGGTGGTGAGTTTCTCAAGAAGGAATCTTGAGTAGAGTTTGCCAATAAAAGATAGGAGGCTTATTGGTCTATAGTTGCTGGGGAGGGAAGGGTCACCTTTTTTATATATTGGGACAATAATTGAGTTGAGCCAAGTTTCGGGAATAACACCTGATTTGTTGACAATGGTGAAAAGGTTGGCAAGAGGAATAGACCACCATGTATGGTTGTTAATAAAAAACTCAGTGGGGATTCCATCCGAGCCGGGAGTTTTCCGGGATTTAAGAGAATGAATGAGCTCAATGATTTCATCCGGTGTGACAGGGGGCCAGTCTGGTAGTTCAGAAGAAGGGTCTTTCTCCCCACCACGAGGCTTCTCCGCTGCTGAAACCACCATCAGGCGCAGCACTTTGGGAGAACCCTCACGGTGGGGGAGAAAGACCAGATCGGCTCCTGCCTTTCTTCCCCGCCACCCGGCTTCTGCCCCGATGGTGGTTTCAGCAGCGGAGAAGCTGCCCGGTGGGGGAGAAAGGGCTGGAATGGATTAATGGGTTTTCAATGCATTCCTATGGGGAATGCATTTTCAATCTACAGAATTTTCGACCTACGGACACTCTGTAGGTCGAGACTCCACTGTATCTAAATGAGCTTGTGTTTCTTTCCTATATATGCTTATACATAAAAAGGTTCAAAATAAGAAAATAAATACGATCACATACACCGTCTTTCAAAGGATCTTCATTCCTCTGTATGCACAAGGTGCACAGAGATGTAACACTAAAAGCAATGGTGCTGTGAATGCCAGTCATACCTCCACACTACAATAACTACAGAACGTGCACTTGAAGGGCTTTTCAAGTGTATGCTTATACCGCCTGTGTCGCGAAAGTTCTCCACTTGTCACAAATGCCATATCACATTCACCACACTTGTGTGGCTTGGTCCCTGGAAGAAATAAAAATAATTCTCTGTTAAATACAGGCTGCTGGATAGCTCAGTGGTTTAGGTATATGGTTGAAGAGCCAGAGGTTGAGAGCTTGATTCCCCACTGGGCCACCTTGACAAGAGCTAGACTTGATGACCCACAGTGTCCCTTCCACATCTGCAGTTCTAAGATGACGATAATGATTTTGATAACTGAGAATGTTCAGAAATTTTACTTTTTTAATTGTGCATTCACTGTGCCAAGGCACTGATTTTATAATAATGATAATAATGTGCCATCAAGTCAATTCTGACTTAACAACAATCTTTTTCGGGGGGTTTCTAGGTAGAGAGTACACAAAAGTGGTTAAGCATTTGGGGGGCATCCTGGGACTGTGCAGCTGGGTCAAGGCTACACAGGCTGGCAAATCCTCTAAGAGGCAAAATGAGGAACTGAACGCCCAACCTCTGACTCCACAGCCAGATGCCCAACTCACTGAGCTATCGAGCCAGTTACTGATTTGTTATCTACCGTATTTTGAAAGTTTAAAAAAAAAGAATTAAAGAACCTCTTAATGAGGGTGAAAGAGGAGAGTGCAAAAACTGGTCTGAAGCTCAATATCAAAAAAAAACTAAGATCATGGCCACTGGTTCCATCACCTCCTGGCAAATAGAAGGGGACGATATGGAGACAGTGACAGATTATACTTTCTTGGGCTCCATGATCACTGCAGATGGTGACAGCAGCCACGAAATTAAAAGACGCCTGCTACTTGGGAGGAAAGCAATGACAAACCTCGGCAGCATCTAAAAAAGCAGAGACATCACCTTGCCGACAAAAATCCGCATAAGTTTTCCCTGTAGTGATGTATGGAAGTGAGAGCTGGACCATAAAGAAAGCTGACCAGCAAAGAACTGATGCTTTTGAATTGTGGTGCTGGAGGAGACTCTTGAGAGTCCCCTGGACTGCAAGGAGAACAAACCTATCAATTCTAAAGGAAATCAACCCTGAGTGCTCACTGGAAGGACATATCCTGAAGCTGAGGCTCCAATACTTTGGCCATCTCATGAGAAGAGAAGACTCCCTGGAAAAGATGCTGATGTTGGGAAAGTATGAAGGCAGGAGGAGAAGGGGACGAGAGAGGATGAGATGGTTGGACAGGGTCATCGAAGCGACCAACATGAATTTGACCCAATTTGGGAGGCAGTGGAAGACAAGAGGGCCTGGCGTGCTCTGGTCCGTGGGGTCACAAAGAGTTGGACACGACTAAACGACAATTTTGAAAGTTAGGAAATGCCCCCTCAAACCACTGAGAGTGAAACCAAATGCTGCACAGACATTTAAAAAGTATCTTTTTAGAATACAGCTCTCAGACTCCCATACCTAGATGGTCTGGCACCAATGCTGATTCTGGGATTCTGGAGCATGCAGTCCAAAAAAGTAACTTCTCCAAACTTTGGGAGGGCTAGTGTGGAGCTAGTATATACAGTTAAAGCAGCTATTTGGACTCTCTATACAGTCAACACATAGAATACTTGTTAATACAGTCATCACAAACGTCTGGATATAACAATCCATTTATAAGAGCAGCTCCTTAGAATGTCCTGAAATGAAGAAATACAAGAAGCAGTGTTTTAGCAGTTACATGCTAAAAAAAATGGCTGTGATAAGCCGTAACGCAGAATTTTTGTGTGGAGGCTGTTAAGCAAAAGCAAATGTATACCAACCCTACCTGTGTGAGTGTTCACATGATTTCGCAAGAGAGAAACTGTACGGAAGGCCTTCAAGCAGAGATGACACATATGAGGCCTTTCCTCAGAGTGTTTTTTCATGTGACGTCTAAGGCCTGCAATGCTGAAACAGGTGAATGTACAAAAAGGGCAATGCTGTGGCACATCCCCTAGGAAAACAAAAGTTATTTTTAGGTTGAATAAACCCACTTCTAAAAAACAAAAGCACCACCACCAATTTGATACTTTAATATTTTACTCATTTCACCACATACTGTATGGCCCCTTCAGACATGCATATTCCAAACCTGACGACTTCAAGCCAGAAGCATTTAACAATAATAACAACAATAACAACAATAACAACAATAACAACAATAACAATAACAATAACAATAACAACAACAACAACAACAACAACAACAAAACAACAACATAATAATAATAATAATAATAATAATAATAATAATAATAATAATAATAATAATAATAATAATAATAATAATAATAATAATAATAATAATAATAATAATAATAATAATAATAATAATAATAATAATAATAATAATAATAATAATAATAATAATAATAATAATAATAATAATAATAATAATAATAATAATAATAATAATAATAATAATAATAATAATAATAATAATAATAATAATAATAATAATAATAATAATAATAATAATAATAATAATAATAATAATAATAATAATAATAATAATACAGTAATTCAGAACCACCAGCCAAAAGGGATCCTAAAAATCTGTGGACCTGACCACCTCCCATGTAAAAACTGCAGAACAGTTTTTGCTCAAAAAGTCCCTTCTCCCACTCCTGAGGCTTCCAGGATCAAACCATTTGACATTGGAAAATTTGGTAAAAGTTGGCCAAGTCCTGCTCCCCCAGCTGTTACATGTCTCAGAACTGTTCCTGGTTTTTTATGTACAAAAATGTTATTGACAACTGTCCTTGTTAAATCTGGGGCTGCTGCACCTCACCTTTGCTGGAGCATAGGGGCAAAAGCCTGGCCCCTAAGCATGCACAGATTCCCTACAGGCGATCTGCAGGTATACCAGGGGAAACTCACAAAGCTGTACAAACGTAACATGAACTCCAATGGGAAAACACATATGATGGACCTAATTAGGAACAAACATGAATGAGCTAGATCAGTGGTTCTTAACCTTTGTTACTCAGATGCTTTTGAACTGCAACTCCCAGAAACCACAGTCAGCACAGCTGGTGGTGAAGGCTTCTGGGAGTTGCAGTCTAAAACTACTGAGTAACCCAAGGTTAAGACCAGTGAGCTAGATGTAGAAGGGAAACAATCCCCATCACATCCAGTACTCTTATTTCATTTATTCAGTTGGGGAAGGGCTTGTAGAAGCCTCCCCCCCCCTCAAATAGAGTCTCCTAAGTCCCACCATGAAATGCTCTTTACACCAGAAGTCACCTCCGCAACTTCACTATCAATCCTGACTGACTGGATAAAGTCAATGCATTCTCTAGATCAGGGTGGCAACAGGACTGGCCCTACCATTAGCCAGAGTGAGACATTGGACACAATCCTACTGTAAGGGTTAAAGTGAGTTTGAACTACCAGTCTATCAAGCTCCTGGATCTTGGATAGGGAGGAGGTGTCATTTCTTCTTTTGCTAATGCACCAAAATATGTAGAGGGTCAAGAATGTACTATCAACCAGCTGGTGACTTTTTTTTTTCTGGTGGGCCATCTAATACTGCTCGCCTTCTAGAAAAGAACGCTTGTTATTTAGTGGAGCTAACAAGAGTTAGCTTAACACTTAACAAGAAAGTGTGAAGGCAAGAGGAGAAGGGGCCGTCAGAGGATGAGATGGCTGGACAGTGTCATTGAAGCAACCGACATGAATTTGACCCAACTCCAGGAGGCAGTGGAAGACAAGAGGGCCTAGCGTGCTCTGGTCCATGGGGTCACGAAGAGTCGGACACGACTTAACGACTAAACAACAGCAACATGTTCTTATTTGGTTACTTATTCAGGACATTTGACAAGGATGAATTATACCTTATATTCAATGGACGTCTGGTCCAGTCTAGCACTGCTCTTACATTCTTAGACTGTTTTGGAAAAACTTGGTATTTACAGCACCTGCCATTGTCCTTCAGTAACTATCCTGAGTTTAGAGTAAGCAACACCTCTTATTTTAAAAACAAACTAATTTCTAGGGTTTGAAAAGTGACTTTGGGTTTTTGGTTTTGTCTGCAGGTTCTCAGGTCCCTTTAACCACCAAGGCCGTTCGCCGTGCTTGGTAGAGGATTCTGAAAGCTGAAGTCCAAAAAAAAACAAACAAAAAAACCCGGATTTTTTTCACACTCTGCTTTGACTGTCAAAAGGAAGAATTTAAGTCCTACGTATAAATGGACAGTCACAGAGAAGCACTAGTGAAAAATATCTCCCTGAACCCAGCATTCCCACCCGCACCCCCCAGGTCTTTAATGTGGCAGGCGGCCACTCCAAAAGAGGCCTGGAACATATGAACCAGAAACTGGGCCTTTTCGGTAGTGGCTCCTCCGCTCTGGAACGCTCTTCCTGTGGAGGTGCCCTCACCCTCCTGAGCTTCCGCAAGCAAATGAAAACATGGCTTTTTACCCAGGCCTTCTCAAGCACCACCCTTTCGTAAAGTTATGCCGGCCCATTGTCTGCCATCCTGGTGATTTGATGAGGGTGGGTAGGGTTTTGTTTGTTTTCTTCTAATATGTTTTTAATATTTTTAGCTGTATGTTTTATAATGTTTTGTAAGCCGCCCAGAGTAGTGGCATGCTCTCTAAATGGGTAGGGGTAGAAATCTAAATAAATAAAATTCTTGAACCTAGCAGCCTCCTGACGTGATGGACTACAATGACCACCATGCCCAGCCAAGGAAGTGATGGGATTCGGAGTCCAGTACATTTCAAGGATGCCAGCGGGCAGACAACTATCCTAAAATAGGCCAGAAGAATACAGTGGGATCTGCCTAGATGAACTATTTTATTTATTTACCTTGTGTGCCGCCCACTCAATACAATAAAAGGATAAAGCAATTAACAAAGGGACAGCTTACAACAATTAAAATACAATAAAAGGATAAAGCAATTAACAATAAAACTAACACCTTCTGCCCCAGCCACTGGTCCCTAACATATGCCAGCCACCCTTAAAGAACTGGAATTGTGACATTACAGTAAATCTAGATTTGTAACATTGCAAAATTGTACCGGTGACGTCACACCTCCTACCCACTGGGCTGTGATCCTTTGGACATCGGAAGAAACATCAGTGCTTGCTACAACAGGATGCAACAACTCACCTTCATTGCTTTGGTCCTTTTTTTCAGAATTGTGAAACGACACAGGATCCTCTTTACTTCTACTGCTCAGATTCTTTGCTGCTTCAGCCAAACAAAAAGGACTTATTCTATCCTCTTCAGCTACAAGAAGTGGCTGTCCCTTACCTCCATCTGTAGCGACAACATCCATACTTCTGTCTCTCTGTTTTTAAAAACAAACACAAGAGATTAGGAAGAGAAACAGGACAGTAAATGGGAAGCATGAAGTATCATCTTAACGAAGTCAAAAGTGGGCCAAATTCTCTAGAATGATACTTCTCCAGGCAAAAGCACACATACAGCATTAGAATTCTTTTTTGTGCCACTAATTTTAACAATTAGCTGTATAGCCAAGCTTTTTACTACAGGGATTGTGTATAAGCTGTAAAACCCATCAACAAAAGCATCATTCCTTGCAATGTCTACTTTTTGTACCAGAGAAGACTGGGAGGTGGGGGAGAGGCCTTGGGGAGAAAAATCTGTAAATACTCTCAGTTTTGTGGAGATTCATCTACACATAGCGTTTGGAATCTTTTCCTCAATTTCAAGAAACAATTGATAAACAAAATCTGTATTTAACTTGAGTTTAAATCAGATGAATGTTCATTGTTGAAGCCATCTGGTTTTCTCCCCTACTCTCCCTCCCCCATATTATCAAGATACAAACTTTTTTGTAATTCTTCTTCAAATCTAAATATTACTGCAGGAAGACAGCAAAGTTTGCTGCTGGGTGGGATGATCTGCAGGGACATTTAACATCTGCTTCATAGCTTGCTGGAAACAGTCCCTGAATTTATATGAATAATCTCAGATATTTCTAGATTCCCAAGTGGACTCTTTATTTGTTACTATAAGAACAATCAAAGTGGCATATTTTCTGCACCTCACAAATCTAAAACTCCAATGATTCAGCCAAAGAATGTCAGGGTGCTTCCTTCTACTCCAAATAGCTCCAAAATGATTTACAGCTACAGTGGTGCCTCGCTTACCGACGATAATCTGTTCCAGGAAAATCGCCGTTAAGCAAAAACATTGTAAAGCGAAAATAAATCCCCCACTGAAACGCACTGAAACCCGTTCAATGCCTTCCAATGGGGTAAAAACTCACAGTCCAGAGAAGATCCTCCATACGGCAGCCATTTTCGCTGCCTGTATAGCAAGGAATCCTTCCCTAAACACAGCGGGAAGCCATTTTAATCACCCGGCGGCCATTTTGAAACCGCCGATCAGCTGTTCAAAAAATGTCGCTTTGTCAAGAATTGGTTCCCGAAGCAGGGAACCGATCATCGCAAAGCAAAATTCCCCCATTCAGACCATCGTTTTGCGATCGCAACTGCGATCGCGAAAAGATTGTCAAGCGGTTTCGTTGTAATGCGGGGCAATCGGCAACTGCGATCGCAAAAACTATTGTCAAGCGGTTTCGTTGTAATGAGGGGCAATCGTAAAGCGAGGCACCACTGTATGTGTTTATTCTGCTACCCAAATAAACTGTTGACTTTTATGGTCTTACAAACAGAAGCTAAATTTCTACCTTGTACAGCTCTTCAACAGAGCTGTGGATCCTTCCAGCTTGTTTGTAATTTTTAGTGGTCTAATAAAGGCCCACCCTTGCCTTCGGATTGTGTACAAAGACCACAAGCCTTCACCCCCTTTTTTTGTCCCACTAATTAACAGAGCTGCCTTAATGAAGTGGCACAACTACCTCAATTCGAAGGGCATCTGGGGTCTTCCTAGTTGACTTTTCATCCTCATTAAAAGTTTGCATTTCTTTCAGACAGTTGATGTGCATCACTTCCATCTCCTGCACTGTGTAAATGCCTTCCGGCAAACTTACAGCCACAACCTCTTCTGGGTTGTTCCGAATGCCTATGCTTTGAGTCATCACCTCCAGAGGCTCTAAGATGCACCTCTCTCTTTGCATCACGGCGTGGAGGACTCCATCATGCTGATTGGCTACAGACAGTCCCTGGGCATCATTTTCCTCTATTTTCAAATGCACTGTCTTCAACAAGACAAGGTGTTTCTCTCCCTCTCCTGAAGAATGGACAGCATGAGTTTCTCCTCCCCCTCCGCCCGGCACTCCACAAAATGAAACAGGAGGCAGGTCTTCCACCTCGTCGCCATAAATGCAGCTCCCCATTTTCTCATGAGATGGGCTGTCCTCTTCTCTTTCAGCCACCTTTATTTTATTGAATTGCTCGCCATGTTCTGAGCCCGCTGTCGTGTTGAACCTATTCGAAGGGAGAGGAGACAGTCACCAGGAACAGGAAGCAAAGCCTCGCATAAGAGAGGACACAAAGCCATGGCAGTTGCCATTAACAGCCAATTTTGTTTGTTTAATTGCCACAGATGGAGTTTGCGTCATGGTGGACAAAAGGCAATGATTATCCACCACGGTTTGTGTTCCAAAATAACTTGGCTGACTTTATGCATCCTGATGCACGTGGATGTCAACATCTGGCTCAGGCAGCAAAGTATGTGAGGCTAGTCCTAAATAAACCTAACCTTCCATCTCATTCCAGTTGTCAAATCCTAAGCCCAAAAGATGATTCGAAGCAATGGTCCTCACCCATTTGAGTACATGTACCATTGCAGAAGTACTCTAGATGGGACACATATTTCTCATAACTACTAAGAATTTACTCTGTGTCCAAACCTGCTTGCCACAGGTGATTCATCTGCAAACTAGTACTGTAATGACTTTAGACAATGAGTGTTTCCTCTAATCCTCTGTTCCCTGTGTCCATCAGTTTAAGATAAATTGATAATATAATAGCAGAATGCCTGTTAATACATAAAATTCCTTATTGGGAAAAGTGGGGTTTTATTTGTATCAAGTCCTTGAAAAGAGTGATTGATATTTTATTCTGTATCTGAATGTATTCTTTTTTTCTGCTTTGTGTGGTTGTACCAACGGAGACTCATTCAATTTCACTGCACACACATTGTGCATTGGCAATAAAGGTATTATTATTACAAGATAAATCAGAAAAAGTGGGCAGTTATTAGTTTGGAAACAGGATTAAAAGGATTTGATGGTAGTCCAGCTGGCAGTGTGTCTCCGGCACTGGTTAGGCCTCACCTGGAGTGCAGTATTGTGTCCAGTTCTGCACACCGCATTTCAAGAAGGATACCAACAAATTGGAACAAGTTCAGAGAAGGGAAACAAGGATGATCAGGGGACATGGAAACCAAGCCCTAGGAAGAAAGACTGAAAGAACTCTGCATGTTTAGCCTTTAGAAAATATGACTGGGGGGAGATACAAACGTGCTTTTCAAATATTTGAAAGGATGTCATACTGAGGAGGGTGAAGATCTGTTCTTGATCATCCCAGAGTGCAGGACATGCAACAATGGGCTCAAATTACAGGAAGACAGATTTTGGTTGATTATCAGAAAAAACTTCCTAACTGTTAGAGCAGTACAGCAATGGAATCAATTACATTGAGAGGTGGTGTGTGCTCCAACACTGGAGGCATTCAAGAGAAATTTAGACAACCCTCTGGCAGATCTGCTTTAATTTGTATTCCTGCACTGAGCACGGTTGGATTCAATGGCCTTATAGCTCCCTTCCTTTCAGTTCAACTTCATTATTCCATGATTCAGGCCACCATGTAAAACTGTCCTTTGCTCAAAACAAGTTGCTGACTTAGGGTTTTAATAACAATTCAATAATAAACAAATACCCAATTTTACATGGCAAACACATTGTTTGAAAGTCCCACCATATTAATGGTAATTCTTCAAAAATCAGATCTCTTCAAAATCTCCACATCTCAGTTCCGTTTAAAAACTCCATAGAATTTTGGAAACCCTAGTCTAAACATGTACTTTTTCCTGACTCACTTGGTTTGGTTTCTTTCTCCCAAATGTGTCCAAGCAAGGATTTTATGTGTGCAAATGGAGCGAATTATATACACCTGTACCATGGTCTTGAACTCCCAACTTCTGGCTCCATAGCCATTGTACCATGGTCTTGAAATCCCAACTTCTGGCTCCATAGCCAGAGACCTAAACTGCTGAGCTATCCGAAATCTTTAGAAGCTTACCTTTTGCTACCTATTAAGAAGGCTGCTCTGAATGTCTGAATTCTAACCCATATCCCTTATATTAATAATCTCCCTCATTAATTTCAAGACCACCACCCCAGAGTATATCCTACTAACTTCATGGCCGGATTTTGAATTTCTCAAATGTTCAGCACAGTGGATCTTGTCCTACTTCCACTCCTCCCCACCCTCGTTTGAAAACCTCTACTCCAAAATCCCTGTTTTCATTTGCCAAATGATAGCCCAACTTTATTCTCTGCTTCATTTCCAATTCTCAGATCACCCTGACACATAAATTGTTTTAACTGCAATCACATCCTTTAAATATTTTCTTCCTGATCTTGCACACCTTTCTTTGAAAGTGAGCACCAGTTGTTAGATGGACTCAAGGAAGGAAGCCATAGCTTTGGGTTTGCAAGACCCAGGCGGGGCAGGTAATAACACACAGGAGTCACTAACACACAGGATCATCATAAACTGGCAGCGTCTTGATATGATAAGTGAAACATCACTTTATATAGTGGAGGAATTATTAAGAAAAAAAAATATTTGTACCGTGGATAAATTGCTCAGATGTTCTTTTATCTTCGTGTTACTATATGTTAATTTTTTTTGCTTTTCTCTCTCTCACACACACACCCAGAACATGGAATGCAACACTGCAATCTATTGCTGTCACAATAATTCCAATGCCGTCTAGGGAATTCTGAATTTACAAAGCAACCTAGAGCCAACAGATTCGATTTTATAAAACCCCTTGAGGTTTATCCCTAATAAAATCAGAAGTACTTACTCCACAAACACAGTTTGGGGCTGCCACGCAGACGGCAATCCTGGACACGTTCATCCACGGAAAAGCCCCACTGCATTCAATGAGACAGAGAGAACAAAAACCGGGCAAGGGTTAGCAATCTGATTTAGTTCCTGCTTTATCATAACCAAATCCCACTGAATTCAATAGCCCTTAATCCTTAGGAAATGTGCTTCGGGTCTATCTACTCTGAGCTGGGATGACGTGCGTCTTTATTCCGAGTTCCACACTCTGAGGTCCCGATTCAAAGTTACTCTGACGCAAGGCGGGATCGGGCCCGATGACCTACCCTTTGCGAGGGGTGAAGGGCCTCGACCCCAGTCCTTACTGCCAGTTTTATCTCTAAAATATTCATCACCCCCTGAACTACAAAGGCCCCGATGTTTTTTTTTTCCTTCTCCATTCTCCTTGTACGTCTGGCCTCCTCCAGCCTGCCCTTGCTTGGATCCAGACCCCCCCTACCCGCCCCCAGAGGCCTCTTTGGATCCCCCGTCGGGCCTGCCGCAGGGCAGCCCTCTCGCCTCACCCCCAAGGAGGGCCTGGATTTTGCGCGCCCACTCCGGCCTGGCATGCAAGGCGAGTCTCTTGCTGGCTTGCCCAGCAAACGTTGCCAACCATGGGGAAGGGGGGACACCAAGGAGGAAAGCGTGTAGCGTGCGCTCCCTCGAGAGTAATCCCCCATTCAGAAGGGTATTACTCAAGGGTTGAACTGCACGCAGGTCCAGGCGTGCGGGATGAGCAGCCGCCCAAAGTAGGAATAAACACCGCTGGAGGAGAAAGAGGCTTACTCGCGAGTAGGCGTTCTTACCGGAGGGCGCCGTTCTTTCCAGGTTAAGAGGAGACGAACAGTACTGTAAATGTATCTGGGCAGCTACGTTTGCACCTATGGTGGAACCTTAGCTGTGGGTAAAGCCTCACGAGGGGCTTACTCGCAAGTAAGCATACCTAAGTTCGCCCTACCTGGCTGCAATCCAGGGTTTTTCGCCCGAAGTAATCAGGAACGAACGGTTCAGCGACTCCAAGGCCATATGCCTTAATTAGGGCGTATTAGTGCATCTCATTGATTAACTGAGCTTTCTTTTCCTCATTAATAAACATAACTGCGTTGATCTATTTAAGGAGTTCCCTGGCTTTTCACGTTCAAAAAATACGCAAATATTAAAATACATATTTTTTTAAAAAAACAACAAGGAATTGGATACTTCTACACACATTGCTACAGGATCCATAGCACTACCAAGTACTGTAGAAAGGTTTTGCATAACGGACTTTTTTTTTAACCAGGAAAAAAAGTAGTTGAAAAAAGTTGTTGGGATTTTTAAAGGTTCAAAAAGAAATGGGAAACCACAGGGAGAAACTACACATTGAAAGTCCAAGCACCTCCACCCAGGTAAAATTCCATGAATTAAGCAGATATTGCACAATTAAAGCCTCCTTTTCAAGCATGCCAAGAATCTGTTAAATCTGTAAACATTTGTAAATCTGTAAATAAAATCATTGCACAATACCTTTCTTATTATGTTGGAAGTAGGTACCCTCTGGAACTAACCTAGGAGTGCTAGTTATTTTGGATTAGTGTAGTTTTATGCAGTGGCATATTTAGAAACTATGGTGTAAAACAGGTTTGGGACACACACACCCACTTTATACATAAAATAAGGCTGCAGTTTTAAAGACTTTTGCAAGAGAAGAAGGATGCAGCTACAGAGCGTGGAGAACCTGGTTTGCTTCCAAGTGTTTCAAGCGAAATCCGTGCTGCTTTCTGTGGGTGAAATTGCAGTAGCTGTTCACACCAATATGAACAATTATCCTGCTGACAAGGGAATCGAGACAGAAAGCTGCAATAGAAAGGATCTTTGCTGAAGTCATTGATTTCTACTGGGTCCACCTCTTCCCTTCATTTTGTAATTTAATTTTAAAAAATATTGTTATTATTGCAAAATGCCATAGTGCTTATCTGGTAAAGTGTTACAGCGCATAATTTTAAGAAGAAAGAAAATTATTTGGAAATGTAAATGTGTAAACAATAACTTAGTTGAGGGAAGCCCGTTGACAACCCTGCAGCTGCTCCTTTACATTGGATCAGGTGGATACATGTGTTGGAAACTGGTGGGGAAAAACCACTACTAGATTAATTTGAGCAAAATAGACTCTCTCCCATCCACTGAACAAAAAGAAATAATTTGTCAGTGAAAAATACCAGGCTTCCATACACTTAGCTTTATGTCATGTAGTCAACAGTGTTTACTTTGATTTTTATCTGTGTCAAATCCAACGCAAGCAGCAAGGTCAATAGCCAGCATAGACCCCCAAGTCCTGTCCTGATAGCAACAGTTATAACAAAGCTGGACTGATACTTCTCTGGGAAACCACCCTAAACCGGTGCAAAGCGAGGTACGAGTAACAATATCGGGCAAACTTTCTGGTGAGATCCATGCAGAAGCTGGTCTTTAAAGTAGAGCAAATACTTAGCCTGGGAAACACTTTGGATTATATTGGTTGTTGTGGGTTTTTCGGGCTCTTTGGCCGTGTTCTGAAGGTTGTTCTTCCTAAAGTTTCGCCAGTCTCTGTGGCCGGCATCTTCAAAGGACAAGAGTTGTACCCAAACAAACTGCAGCAGAGCACAGAGTTCTGACTCCTGTCCTCTGAAGATGCCGGCCACAGAGACTGGCGAAACCTTAGGGAGAACAACCTTCAGAATCCTAACCCACAACAACCACTGCAATGTTACTTTGGTCAGGTAGGAGGGCGAGAAAGGGGACCACTACAGTCCATAGGGAACAAGTTGACTATCCTTGAGGTAGGTCAAATGTTGCAGTTCTGCCATGCCTGTCGGCACTGGCTTTTGGGGTGTGGTTTGGTGTGGTGTAAATAGCATCAGTTGGATTGTGGGATGGGGGGAGACGAGTGATACTCCATTTGGCACGATTCTGATGTCCAAATGGCACATCAACTTCAAACAACTCTCTAAATTTTTGCTCCTTTATAAACCTGTATCGGTACACGGTACACCTCACACAGAGCCAGTTTCCCACTCTTTTCCACACATACGCATGTCATATTCATGTTTTGCATGACAGTTCTCTTGCATGTACACAACTCATCCATTCCTCACAGAAGCCATGGAACCCAGTTTGTCTCTGAAACATCCACTCAGAGTCAGACCTTCCACTCTCCAGTTGCCTTCTTCGTGTCTCATTCTTCTCTCATGCAAAAAAACAACTTCCAGTGCTGTTGCCAGCTCCCCTTCCCTCCCATTCCATCCTGGTCTCTCCATGGCTCTGGAGGAAATCTCGCATTCAGCCACCAAAGCTGCTCAGGGCCTGCTGTTACCATCATTCCCACACTCGCACACTCACACACACCCTGGGAGAGGATGGCATGGAGCAGCTGTGGCTAAAATGGTGTCACCCGCATATACCTTGTCTTGCAGCCTGTATCTCAGAGGAGCACCTTGGTTCCTCTTTGGCGCTTTCCACTGTCAATTGAACGGTTCCCCTGCTTGCCTGCAAAGGGGCAAGATAAGTGAACTTAGTTTAAAATGGGGTCTGCTGGATCATAATTGATGCATTGATTCACCTAGATTAAATTCAACGAAAATGTTTTTCTTTACTTTTCTACATATGGGTGATTGAAACCATGGCTGTGGGTAGTTTCCCGATCAGCAGTACACAGAAAAGCAAAGAAAATGTTTTTTAAATTAATCTAAGCGAATCAATACATCAGCAACCATCTTGCAGACCTAATAAAAATAATTTCGCTTCTCTTGCCCCTCTGCAGATGAGCAGAAGTGTTCAGTTTGCTGATATCGTGAAGCTGCTTGTAAACCACTTTAAGATACCAGAAATTAACATCAGAAGGAGCCTTTGACAGATGCAAGGTTCTAGTTTGGTCTGCTCCAAGTGACCACATGCATTGGAACAGACTAAACTAAAGTGCACCAACCCACACCAAAATAATAGAAGCCCCTGATAGGAGCTCAGAAAGGTCAAACTAATCAACTCAAATTTGGGGCAAATCAGTCCGCTCCAATTTGACAACATCCATGTGTAGGTAAAGGTAAAGGTAAAGGTTCCCCAATAATAGAAGCTCCTGATGGGAGCTCAGAAAGGTCAAACTAGTCAACTCAAATTTGGGGCAAATCAGTCCACTCCAATTTGACACCATCCATGTGTAGAGATGCCGGAAAAAATGAGTAGACCAACCTGCCCCGTCAGCACGCTAAATAATGGGATGTACGTTTGCGTAGGTGGACAACCTCTAACTCTGTTCCTATTGGTTCATCATGACACCCAATGAGTAATATTTACTGCCTTTCAGAAACATTTTCCTAATATTTTACTCGCATTTGCATGCTTTCGTTGGCGGGAGCTGGGACAAGCAACAGGCGCTCACTCCGTTGCGTGGATTCGATCTTACGACTGCTTGGTCTTCTGACCCTGCAGCACAGGCTTCCATGTGTAGAGATGCCAGAAAAAAAGAGTAGACCAACCTGCCCCGTCAGCACGCTAAATAATGGGACGTACGTATGCGTAGGTGGACAACCTCTAACTCTGTTCCTAGTGGTCCATCATGACACCCAATGAGTAATGTTTACTGCCTTTCAGAAACGTTTTCCTAGTATTTTATTTCTAAGGTGGTTCTCTGCTGATGAACTAGCTTTCTAGCCTCTTCCATGTGATTTGTGGGTGCAGGGGAAAGACCATGTTGTGATTCTCCATTAGAGGAAGCAATTACTAATAGCTTGCAATGTTATTTAACCTTTGCCTCTGTTTACTAAGTGGCTTCTATCTTTCTTGCTGAAACTGCCCATGGGCACTTTTATGTTTTCAGTACACAGTCCTTTCTTTCTGTGCTCTTTGACACTGACGAGTGACTTAACTGAACAAACCCAGGGATGACATTAAAAGGTTACAATGCTTTTCATTTTCAAAGAAAACTGTGACTCATGAGTTCCCCCACCCCAGCAAGTACAAGGACCTCTGTGCTTGGATAATAAAAAGAATTCAGATTATTGGAGACATCCTCAGTTAGGTATTGCTGGGATGAATAACATTGACTAGGGACCACACGAAAGATTCGCCATGAGTGAACTTTTATTTTGTTACCCATGTTCTAAGGAGGTGCCACAATTAGGGCCAACGTACCAACTATAAGATATACTACTTCCTCTTCCCGTACACATGCAGTCTTATTTGCAGTTACAAACATTTTTGCCCACATATGTTCATTATGTCATGACAATGAAATGAATGGGCAACTACAGAGACCTTCCATAACATCTCAAATATACAGTGGTGCCCTGCTTAACGCTTACCCCGCTTGATGACGAATCCGCTTCACGATGAAGTTTTTGTGATCGCTTTTGCGATCACAAAACAATGTTTTTTGTCACAACAACAAAATGAATGGGCAACCACAGAGAGCTTCCATAACATCCCAAAGATAGTGTCAAGCCCAGCCTAAGAGATTTTGCTCCCATCCGCTTCACGATGAAGTTTTTGTGATCGCTTTTGCGATCACAAAACAATGTTTTAATAGGCAAAAACCGCTATACGAGGGTTGGTTTCCTGCTTCGGAACCAATTCTTGGCATTACGACAATCAAAACAGCTGATCATCGGGTTTTCAAAATTGCCACCGGCTGCTCAAAATGGCTCTCCGCTGTTTTTAGGAGGCATTTTTTGCTGCACAGGGAGCAGAAAATGGCCCCCCCTATGGAGGATTTTCTCTGGATGAGCAGGTATTTAGCTCATTGGAATGCATTAACCGCTTTTTAATGCGTTTCAATGGGCTTTTTTATTTCGCTTGATGAGGATTTGCTCTACAGCGATTTCGCTGGAACGGATTATCCTCGTCAAGCGAGGCACCACTGTAGTTTCAAGCCCAGCCTAAGAGATTTTGCTCCCAGTGGGCAAGAATAAAATGGTTTCCTGGGCCCGTTCTATACACAGAAGCCAACCAGACTGGAAACTGAATCTTACTTCGGCATTGGTGGCCCAGATAGTAAGATCCACACATTTTAGGCATGAATTTAAGGATCCCCAAGCAGGCTGTAGGACATAGCTCAAAAACCACCACAGGAGAATGGGTAGAGACTGCCACAATCCTCCCACATCTGCCTGA